TAGCCTCCTAGGCCCTACATTTGATTTTTGCGGAAAATGTTCAAATCCCGTCTGTTAGGACCTTCTGGTCTAGGACTCTAGTAATGGCACGTAATTTACATCATTTGTTTCCCCACCCCAAATTCCCAAACCCATCATCAACCATTCCCCACCCCTGCTGCTGTCCCAGGCCTGAAAACCAAACATCCTAGCTCTGTAGATTTCCCACGTCCAGATATTTCCCATGAATGGAATCCAGAATGTATCTGACCTTCAGTGACTGGCTTCTTTCATTTAACATGATGTTTGTGAAGCTCCCCCAAGTTACACTGTGTATCAATTCAGTCAGTGTTTCTTAACAGTGTTCAGTCAACAATCTGCTGCACAGACCATCATAATTTCAGAAGGGTGTAATGGAGGTGAAAACTTACAAAGTCCTAGAATTTTTATTTTTTTTATTTTTTTGGTTTTTCGAGACAGGGTTTCTCTGTGTAGCTTTGCGCCTTTCCTGGAACTCACTTGGTAGCCCAGGCTGGCCTCGAACTCACAGAGATCCACCTGGCTCTGCCTCCCGAGTGCTGGGATTAAAGGCGTGCGCCACCACCGCCCGGCCCTAGAATTTTTTAGAAATTATTTAGCCGGGTGTTGGTGGTGCATGCCTTTAATCTCAGCTCTTGGGAGGCAGAGGCAGGCGGATCTCTGTGAGTTTGAGTCCAGCCTGGTCTACAGAGAAAGTTCCAGGAAAGGCTCCAAAGCTACACAGAGAAACCCTGTCTCAAAAAGCCAAAAACAACAGCAACAACAACAAAAAAAAAAAAAGAAAAAAGAAAGAAAGAAAGGTGTGTATCGGTGTTTTGTCTGCATGGGGGTGTCAGATCTTAGAGTTACAGACAGTTATGAGTTGCCATGTGGGTACTAGGAATTGAACCCAGATCCTCTGGAAGAGTAGTCAGTGCTCTTAGCCACTGAGCCACCTCTCCAGCCCCCAAATCCTAGCATTTTACATACTTTCCTATACTTAGATATAGTCAGGGATTGACATACTTAGCTGTATATTACACCTGCCTGTAGTGTTCATTCAGTTAGCCTGTTTGTGACCTGGGAGCAATGGGCTGTGCCGTCTGCGTTTGTATAAGTCCCCTGTCAAGTTCACACAGCCTAGCCTTGCATTCCTCAGCAATGTGACTCTGCTTTGTTAATTTTCTTTTCGTTGTTTGTCCCCCCCCCCCCCCCCCCCCCCCCCCCCCCCGAGACAGAGTCTCACTGTGTAGCTCTGGCTGTCCTGGAACTCCCTCTGTAGACCAGGCTGGCATCGAACCCACAGAGATCCACCTAGCTCTGCCTCCCGAGTGCTGGAATTAAAGGCCTGTGCCACCATGTTTGGCTCCAATTCAATAATTTTCAGTGTACAGTTCAGTGCCATTACTCAAGGGCTCTCTCTAGCAGGCCCGAGCATGGCAAACAGGGCTCTGAGAGGTCTTGCTCTCCCCCTTTCCCTTGGCCTTGCTGAACAGTGAGATTGCATTCCTGAAGCTAGGCACCAAGGTCTGTTACCTTATTTGGCCACTTCCTCCTCCTGAAGCTGACCACCAAGGTCCACTATCAAAGTATTGAAGTCCAGCAGTCAAAAGCCCTCTTCTGACTGCCCTAATTAACCTGCCCAACCAAAACAAACCAACTCATTCCAACCTGGGTTTCCCCTTTCCCTTTATAAACTGTCATTGGCCTTCGGGCTGCATTTGTCTCCCCTCTATCCAGAGGCAGTCCTTTGTCCCTCTGGAGCAAATATGCTCTCCCCAGCCCCCCACCCCTGCTTTGCTCCCTCACTCCCCTCTCCCTTATCTCCTATCCACCCCCCACTTTGTCCCTCTAGGGCAAATAATCTCCTTTGTGCTGAGAACTGGTCTTGGTGTGTCCTGTGTTGGCTTGGTCCTTCCAGTTACCTACATTCCAATTGCCATGCAGTTATTATCAACAGCCGAAACTCTCTGCCCACTAAACAATCAGTGACATGTGTCAGAATTGCATGTGTGTTGTTTTTCAGTGGCCGTCCACCTTGTTTTATGGATGCAGAGTCTCTCGTTGGCCTGTAGCTCACCAATTAGGCTAGGCTGGCTGGCTGGCCAGCCCCAGGGACCCACCTGTCTCCTCCATGTTGGGATTACAGGCCTGTGTCACCATGTGCAGCTTTTGAACATGTATCCTACTGATTCAACACTGTCCTCATGCTTCCAAGGTAAACAGTTTATTAATGGACCAGCCACAGGGCACCTCAAATAGAGCTAAGCCCAAGACAGGCCTTGATACACTAATGAAGTAACTTGCATTTCCCTCAGCAGAAGCCCAGAAAAGCAAGGGGGCACCTGATTTTGGAATGGAACTTCCAGAACCATGGACCAAGGGAAAACTTGTCTCTTTATAAGTCAATTGTTTCAGATATTTCGGCACTGCAGTGGAAAGCTAACAGAGGCCCATGGCTATGGAGTCAGATGTCCCTACTTGCAGTCTGAGTATGACCTCTGAACCAGTCACTGTCTCTGAGGCCCTAGTGAAAGATGGCCACCAGGCGGGGCAGGACTCAGTAAATGGTGACTATTATCTACGGCCAGACGTAGAGGACATATAGCCCGGGCTAGCTGCTAGGATGAGTAGGAGAGAGTTGAGGTAGATGATGGTGCTGTCTTGTGCTGAAAACTGATCCTGATGCTCTACAGTATGGGAAAGAGACCTGCACTCTGCGGGGTGAAGGTGGAGGTGGGATGCCTGAGGCCTGGGGGCTCCACAGATCCACGCTGGGAGAGGGAGTCCTGGGCTGAGGGCATAGCTCAAGCAGGCTGGATAATTAGGGCTTGGTAGATTCAGGTTTTCAGGTGCAGCTGGGACAGGAAGGAGGGTTGTGGCCGGCCACACAGGGCCTCATAAGACGTGTGTGCACACACAGGGGCACTTGAGGAGCCAGGGAAGGACTTACACAGAGAGATGCAATCCAGCTGTCATTTCAGGGACATTTACAGCTTCTGTAGTCTGGGAGGGAAGGTAGCAATGGCCTTAAACCATCTAAGCTGGAGGTGTAGGTGACAGGGCAGGTCCTGTGGGAGGAAGACGCAGTCCAGTCAGAACGAGCAACCGAGGCAGGATCTGAGTGGGATCGGACCGCCTCTTCCTGCCACTTTGAGCAGCCTCAAACAGCTGGGGCTGGTGAGCTTGACCTCCAGGACCCCCCACTGTGAGGTAAAGTGGTCCCTCATGAGGCAATGAACTCTTATTTGAGTCCCTGGTGAGCAGAGGTATGTCTGGCCCAACACTGCCCCCTGGTGGAGGAAGATGGAGGTCACAAGGCCACGGGAGCACGGGAGCACGGGAGCAGTCTCAGTGCCTGGTTGGCCAGGCTGTTCTTTCTATGAAGTCACCAAGCCTATTCCGTCCCACTTCCACAGGCTAGATGGACTTAAGTCTGTGGGATTTTGTTGTTGTTTTGGAGGTCCAAGGGATCAAACCTAGGGCCTTGCACATGCTAAGCAAGTGTTCTACCACCAAACTGTATCCCTGCCCTTGCCCAATTCCTCAAGTTCACATCTTACCTTCTCATTTTTTAAAGTTTTTTTTAAAAGACAGTGTTTCTCTGTGTATCCCTGGCTGGCCTCGAACTCAGAGATCCACCTGGCTCTGCCTCCTGAGTGCTGGGATTAAAGGTGTGTGCCACCACCTGGCTATACTTTCTCTTACGTTATATCTCAGGACAAGTCACTTCCTACCTCAAGCCTGGATCTCTGCACCTATAATGGTACATAAGCCTTCCTGCCACAGACTGTCCTGGGCACAGAGTAAGTTCGGATTGAGCTGGACGTTTTCTAGCCCCTGGAACTCCGTGTCTCCCTCTGGCCCACACTGAAGCCCCACCCCACACAGTCCTCCTTCATAGAGGCCCACGTGTCCAAGTCAACCCTCTCCTCTCAGTAGGCAATGAGGACACAGTGGGAGGCTGACCTGGGTACCTGCCCCAGTTTGCTATTAGACAGGCTTTGTTCAAGGAGTACCCCCACTTTGCTAAACCTCCGTGTCCTGGCCTGTAAAATGGGACTTCATCTCTGTCTGCTTCAGGGTGGCCCACGAGGAGCTGTGTAAACTGTGGAGGACTGGGCCGTAGAAAATAGCTGAAAACCTGCACTGAACACCAGTGACTGTTGTGTCCCTTTCAACTTCATGAGCTTGGCTGGGGTGGGATCTGGGGGTGGGTACTGCCCCCAGGGGAACCGCCATGAAAGCACCCTACAAATGCCTCATGTGCCTTCTTCCAAAGGCTGTGAGGACTTTCTCTAGGAGGTGGTCTGGGAAGCCTTGTCTCTGTCCCCAAGACAGAGGAGGCTTCAGGGTTCCCAGTACCTATTTGAAGAGCTTGGATCTACAACCCCTTGTCAAAAATGCCACCCCATCCCTGGCAAACCACACACTCTTACAACCATTTTGTAACTTACGTCAAAGTGTGATTTATTGATATCTATTAACTTTCTTCTGGCCCCAAACACCTTATGGCCACCCATATCCCATTCCTCATCCTGGAGGTGTGCCCCCATCTAGCCCCCTCTCCCCCAAGTCCTTCCATGGTCATTTTCTTGAGCCAAAGCTCATTCTTTCCTGGGTGTGCCCCACAAATTTGGTTCCTGCCCCCACAAGACTCCAGAAGACAGCATGCACATTTGATTTCTGATCATTGAGGTCATTTCTGTTTTCCTCAGTGTGGGCAAGCTTCTTGTGGGCGGAGTTAGATCAGCAGAGCCTCCTCACTGCCCCCAGGGCCTGCAAGGCCTGGTGCTGGACAGATGTTCAACAAATGCTAAAGAATGATGAGTAAATAAGTGAAAACACAAACTTTTTTTTTGTAAGGAATCATCAGTTTTTTGGCTGTGGATGCAGCCCACAAGTAGAGTGCTTGTCTAGCATGTCCAAGGACGTGACTTCTAGCTCCGGAACCACAAAAAGAAAAAAAAAAAAAAAAAAAACCTGACACTCTATAAGGGGTTTCCAACCTGGCTGTACAGGCTGTGTGAGGCCCAGGGTCTCTACAAACCTGGCCCAAAACAAAACCATAAAACTGCATGAAATGTTGTGTGGGTGTTTCCTGTGGCTTTTTGGATTGTTTTGTAACTCAGTTGGCATGGTTCTCACTTAAGAAGTTTATAGATGACAGCATCATGTTGCAATGCCAGAGAGTTGGATGTGCCTGCAAGGGTGAGGTTTGCTGAGGACACATGACTTCCCGAGCTCTCAATGCCCTGTCCACTTGCCAGGCAGGTTCTGCATCACCTCCTCAGGTGACCTCAGGTGGTCATTGCTTAACCAGGAGGCATGTTGTGCCAGCTCTGGGATCCAGAGCCGCCGGTACCTGCAGCTTCTCCTTGGTGCCTGCTGCCTACCCCTCTGCTCCCAGCACTGCTGTGTGTCTGTTCTCTGTGATGGGAGCATCAACTGTCCTTGTGCCCAGGCCAGGTCTGTCTCTGTTACCAGTAAGGAAATACTGGTGAGGCCGCACCGACAGGGAAAATTGGCTGTGGGTGGTTAGAAGGGCAAGGGTCAGGGTTCGAGTTCGGAAGCCTTTTATTTGAAGGCCACACTGAGTCGTTTTGAGTACTCATCATGACATGAAGTGAGATGAATGAACTCACGATAATCCTAACCATCCTCAGTGACAGCCCTTTCAGTCTGCCAAATGATGTGGGGAAATGACCCCAAGAAGCTGGAATGCCTCAGGGAGACAAGAGGGGTGTCCGTGCTTGCCATACCATGAATGCAGGAGCAGCCCTGGACTTTGAAATGCCTTGGGACTCTTGCCTGACAGTTCCAGGCTCTCTTTGGATCCAGCAAAACCATAGAATTTTTTTCCCTCTTGCCAACCTGCTTAAGCTGATCTTCGGCAGGAATTTCTCATGGCACTGCCCCTTGGCATTTGTCCTCCTATTCAGACTCTAAACCTTGACTGTAAATGGTCCAGATACAGTGAATAGGAGCTACCCTGAAGAGCCCCTCTCTCATCTTCAAGGTTTATTGTTTTCTCCATTAAAATGTCTTCGATAATGACAACATCTAGCAAGTAGAGAAAATCAAATGATATCTGGAAGCAGGAGAGGGACCAGGGCCTGGCCCTGTGCTTGCAAGATGCCTAGACAAGGTGGCATCTTCTAAGGCTTCTAGGATGACAGGCACTTTGAAATAAGGACTCCCTTTCCAGGAGCATCTCATCATTCACTTCCAGGGACATTTGGCCCAGCAACACAGAGGGACAAAGAAGGCAATATCAGTGATCCTGAGCCACCCTGCTTGGGACACAAGTCTTCTGTCCCAGCCAGAGGTCCAGGATGAAGCAGTTCAGCACAGCCCAGGCTACTAGGCTCTGGGTAATGCTTCCGTGAGCCATCCACACTGGATCAAGCTTGGCAGTGTCTGCTCTGTTAGGTTCAGTCGACCCAACAGAGCAATGGTGGGCTGGCTGACTACCTATGGATGCTAGGAGGACCAGCCTTTGAGATATCACATGCAGAAGCTGTCACTGGCCAGCTCTTGGGCACACAGGGAAGGGCTGTTGGCAGCTGCCTTTCAACTCTCTCCTTAGAGACATGCAGATGTATAGAAGGCTGGAAGGTTCTCCAAGAAGCATGTTAGAAGTCAGAATGAACCCCCAGTGATTCACCCTGCACACCAGTACCAATATCTCCCTGCAGCTTAGCTTTGACTCTGAGCTCCACTCAGGCCAGAAAGAACTAAAGATAGCCAGCCACAGTGGTGCACATCTGCAATCCCAGCACACAGGACGTTGAAGAAGGCAGACTAATGCAAGGCCAGCCTGGGCTACATGGTGAATTTGAAGATGGCTTGGCAGGGGGAACTGCCTTAAGAAAAAAGAAACAGCCAAAGTTGCGTATCAGCAGGATCCCAGCAGATGTGCGTGTGGGGGGAGGTGCATTGCGCATGTGCGCATGTGTGTATCTCTTCATTAGACTCAACAGCCTGCTCAACCTTGTAAAGCTGAGTGTGGTTTTCTCTCCAATGGCTCCCCTGCCACGACCTGCCTCTCCACTTCTGCTATTCCTTCCAAAGGCGGCGGAATTTAGAGAGGCCTTGATGCTATGCTGGAGCTGGGGCCTCACCCCTCCTTCACAGGCTGCCCAGCTGCCTCCAGCTGGCCCTTCCATCCTTGCTGACCCCCAGTTGGAGAGAAACGATGCAGCTGTGCTCCATGTGAGGGACAGGACTCATGTCTTGGACCCCAGCTGGGATACCAGGCATGACTGAATCCTGGGTGGGTATGTGTCTTCAAGAGGACAAGAACAAGGGTAGGGTCCTTTCCTAGTGGATGTGTGATGTCACCCTCGGCCCCATTCTCTAGGTACAGGAATGAAAGTGCTGGTCTGTGTCTAAGTGGTCCCATGGGAGGCTTGGATGGAGATGGGGGTTGGAGATCTCTGAAGCCACCTTCAGCACCACCCTGCCTAGGGGGCCAGGGGCAGGGGTGTGTGAAGGAGTTGGATGGAGCAGGGTCAGAGGCGGCCAGAGTCTTCACTGTCCCGAGGAGGGCTCCCTGCCCTGAGGCCCTGCAACTTCTCCTCACAGGCCTTGTCCGGGAGCAGCACCTCTGCAGTGTAGCCGACTTTCTTGGTGTGCAGGAGGCTGTAGGTGTTGTCAAAGCGCAGGACATCTGCAGGGACAGGGAGGTGACAGACAGCGTGAGCCCAGCTCATGTGCACTCCTGGTGATGTGGGGAACAGGCTGACCAGGCCCATGGGTGAGACCTGAGTGTCAGTCACTGCCCTGCCCATTGCTCGTGACCACCTCCTGGGACTGTGGCGATCACCATAAGGGCATGGTCCCTTCCGGCACCCCAGCATTACACCAGCACTTCACAGTTTCCTGAAATCCTCAGAGCAGCCCCAGGATAAAGGGTGTCGTCCTTGTTGCTATGGTTTGGGTAAGCGTTCCTAGAAGAGCTGTGTGGTGAAGGCATGGTTCCCAGGCAGCACTGTCAGAAGGTAGTGGGCACCTTGGAGGGGAGAGACATGCTCTCCATGCTGGCCTTGAGCTCCTGGCCCTCTTGACTCAGCTTCTCAAGCCTGGGATTACAGGTGTGTGCCAGGACGCTTGGCTTCTCCCTTCCCTCCCCTTTGGCATCCTTGGCTTGTGACGTACGTGTTTTTTGCTCTGAGTACTCTTGCCATGGTGTGCACCCTTGTCAGAGCCTCGGAGCAATAAGCTCACTGGATCGTGAGCTAGAATCTCCAGAACTGTGCAGTATGGTAAACAACCCTTCCGTTTTTTTTCTAAGCTAATTGCCTTGGGTATTTTGTTATAGTATGAGAAGCTAGCTAAGACACTAGACCGTTTTGTTTCTGGTGGAACTGACACCAGTTCTAGCCAGCTCTTTGGGGTATCTGGAGTTCGGACAACCGGGCAGGCCCCTTGCGGAGACCTCTGAGAAAAGTCCGTGGCGACTTAGTTAGCTGTCTCTTAGACTGCTATGCTCCTGGGCTCTGAGCCTCAGGACTTTGTGCAATACACCTCTTCCCTTACATGCACCCATCAGATCCAAGACCCTGAAGACTGCACCCCTGGAGCCCTTAGGTACAGTCCTTGCACTTTCCCTGAGAGTTGGACATAGAGAGAATCCAGAGAAGCCGGACTGGCCCCAGGTCTGGCTTTCCTCCTATTACAAAGGGCACTGCCGGAAAACCCAAAGCTCTTACAGACTCCGGCCTTGAGGCAGGTGAGGCTCCCATCCTCAGGCACTAGGTGGGCGTTGTAGCGCTGGTTGGGCAGCACCTCTGTCATCTCTCCAGCCTTCTGCCGCTCCCCCATCCTGGTCTTCAGGAATACTCCAAAGCCAATGTCTCCACCATCTGACGCAAACTGCCACCTGCAGCAGAGAGAGCCCACTGACCGACCACCTCCTGGGTGACTGGGAGGCCCTTCCAGGTGTGCGCAGCCACTGGCCCTACCTGAGCACACAGCCTGGGAACAGGATCTCATTCTCCACCTGGTGGGAGGAGCCTCGGCCCACGACCACTGTGTGCTCATATTGCAGCCTCTCCTGTCTGCACATGTAATAGCTCTTGGGCACGTCACCTCCATAGTTGATCTGTGAGTCAGGGGTGGGTAAGCTGACAGTGAACCACAGTGGTATCCTCCCTCCCCATCCTCTGGGCACTCTGTACCTTGGTCAGGCACTTGGGGTTACCATCAGGATCAGTCATGGTCCCCCCAAATTCCACAGGCAGCTGGTCAGGGCTCATGAACTTGAGTAGATCCTGTTTCCAGTTTTCTGTGTTAGAAACAGGGGGCTCTGGGGGGCTCTAGGAGACCAACAGAGAGCCCACGGAGAGGACCCCTTGCTCCCGAGAGTCTACTCCTCAGAGCACTCATGGGCTTGCTTTCTGGCTCTTAGGCCATGATCCAGAATTGGAAGCCCGGCTCTATGCGCTGATGAGACCAAGTCAAAGGAAAGAGGGTATCCCAGGAGAAGGGGCCTTTGACTGCATCCCCTGCTTTCCAGACATCCCCAGAGCCAGCCCCAACTGGGGACCAAGGGTCAAGTCACTCACCTCCCAGAATCACAATCTTTTTCTGTGTCACCTCACCCATGAAGGACTTGACCAGGTTGAAGGCCACTGGGAAAAGCCTGGGTGCTGGAAGACACAGAACCCCACTGGGAAGCTGGACCAGAGACACGAAGCCACAGGCAAGGTCCTGGGCTGGGTAGGAGTTATGTGGTTCTGCATTCTGCCATGCCCTGCTGCGTGAGCGTTAGTTGAGGACTTACACCTCTGAGTCTTAGTGCTGTTATCTGTAAAGTGACAGCATGGTGTCTGGGTCTCAACAATCAGTGGTGTCCTGTAATCTAGTTGTAGAGTGTTGGGCGCAAGCTGGGCCCATGGTCAGCAACCATGATTCCTTGAGGACACCCCTTCCTTTCCCCACTCACGGTTATGCTAGATGACCTCAGAATCCTTTGGGGTGAGAGTAGATGGGGGACCTGCTTTAAATATCCTGTCCCACCCCAAGGATACCTGCTTGCTCACTGAGCACTTCCTGTGGGCCAGGTTTTGTGTGCAGTCTTCTCATTTGGCAGACTCTCGTTTAATATCTTAACTATCTGGTGGGTGGGGGGTGGGTGTCATGGTGTCCCCACTCCACAACATGGGAAAGCTGAGTCTCAGTGAGATGGAACTGACTTGCTCAAAATGAGAGGGCTAACTAGACTTGAGTCCAGGCCATCTGAACCCAGGGACTATAGGATGGCCGTTGAAGACAGGGACCACTCTTGCTGACAGTGTGGCTCATGGCCCAATCTACACTAAAGTGAGTAAGAAAACAACAGCAAACATTTAGAAGCCTAATACAGCTGCAACATACCAGGGCAGGATTTTGCATATTACAAAAATGTCGGTCTGCGAAGGAATGGAGTGAAAAACACAAACGAAAACCTTACTCTTCACAGAAGATGCTTTTGAGAAGCTCTAACCCAAAGGCTTCTTTACTGTCACCCCCACCCCAGCCTTCCTTCCCCAGGCAGGGGTCATCTCGGTCACAAACTCACCTCGAATAACAACTAAATTTTTCACCGTCTCAGGATAATTTGCTTCCAAGATGGCAAAAAACTGTGAAGTCAAATGACATCGGTCATGGCTGTACCCAGCACCTTGGATGTCCAGACTTCTGTAGCTCTGATGCTGCAGAAGCAAGAGGCCCAACCCAGCCTTCCCCATGACATGTGCATCCTCCTCTGGGACGTCCTTGCTCCTCATCCTCGTTGGGTGGCCCCAAGGCCAGCATCTCAAGGCCCCTGGAGGGTATCTCTACTTGTCCATGGATGGGAAGCCAGTGTGGGCTGCGGGTCCCTCTTGGCCTGGAGCTGTTACTAATTTTGTCTCCTGCCTTACCTGCTGGTAGACCTCTACAGCCGGCTTCCAGAGGTGCCTCAGGCTCAACCCTTCCATATCAAACACCATCACCATCCTCTCGATCTTCCTGCCCAACTGCGGTATCAGAGCAGGCACACTGGTTAGATCACTGATTTACGCAGGGGATCCTGGCCACCTCTCTCTGTCTTCCTGCCACCCATAAGACCTGGTAGGGAGGCCTGGCAAGCCCATGGCATCCCAAACAGATGGTATTCATCTAGGGTGTGAGGAGACGTTGAGTCTGAGCCCTAGCAGAGGCTGTAGGTTCTTGGAGTATCATCATGGTGTGCTCAACACTATTGCCTAGAGCATAAGTAAAGCATGACTCGGGCTGGCCGGAATGGCTCAACAAGTAAAGGCACTTGCTGCCAAGACCGAGGACCTGAGTTCAATTCCTGGGATCCACATGGTGGAAAGAGAGCTGATTCCCACTGTAGCATGTGCTGGGCTCATAGTTCAGATTCACAAAACCAACAAGGCTGCCTTCTACACTGGATTCACTCTGAAAGACACAGAGGTCAGAGGGCAGCTCAGGGGCAGGAGATGATACCTGTCTAGGCCTTCTTGGAGTACAAGCCTCACTCTTGAGGGCTCCATAAATATATAGTTTATTTGGTTTTCAAGACAGGTTCAGGTATGTATCCCTGGCTGTCTTGGAACTCTCTCTATAGGCCAGGCTGGCCTCGAACTCACAGAGGTATACCTGCCTCTGTCTCCCAAGTACTGGGATTAAGGGGAGGCACTACCACATCCAACTTTCCATATTTTTTTTATGTTTAAATATCTTTCATCTTTCTTTCTATTATATATCTATCTGCAATCTATCTATCTATCTATCTATCTATCTATCTATCTATCTATCTATCTATCTACCTACCTACCTACCTACCTATCATGTGTGGCCGGTGTGTGTGTGCAGGTGCACACCATGGTGCCTGTCTGGAAGTGAGAAGACAACTCCCGGGAGTCAGTTCTCTCCCCCCACCATGTCAGTTCCAGGAATAGGACTCAGGTTGTTAGGCATGGTTGCAAGTGCCTTTACCCTCTGAGCCATCTTACTGGCCCTAGGATTCCATTTACATATTTTAGTAACTCTGTAGTATTTCCTTGAGTCCCACGGAGGATTCAGAGTCATGGCTTGGCTATCAGTTTTCATAGTTAGAGAATTTTAGTGGTGACTATCTTTTCTGTAGGTAAAGCTGGGTGGCTGTTCCAAGAGATTCACTACACCCATGGTCAACATCAGGGCCCGGCTTTTTGTGTGGGGGCTGGGAATCAGAACGTGGTCTTTATGCTTGCTCAGCAAGCACTTTATGAACTCAGCCAGAAGAGAAGGCATTGGTGACCTTACTTCACGCCAGCAGAGAGTCACACACACACACACCACACACACACACACACACACACACACACACACACACACACACACACACACACACATACTGATGCTCATGGAGGGATCAAAATGGCAGAAAAATCATGCTGAGAGCTGGTGAGAGCTAGAGAGACAGGGTGCTGTCCTTCCCTAGGCCTAGTGTCTCCACTTGGACACCCTAAGGTCACCAAGCACGCGGCCTGAAGCCCGCTGCTCACCTTTTGACTCTGCAGCTCACACTCATGCTGAAGCAGCTCACAGACTTTGATACGCTTGCGGATCATTTCCTGCTTAGAGACCGACATCAGCAACCCCTTGGGGTCCATTGTCCCGATGATGTCGAACCACACAGGGCAGCCTTCATAGTCATAGCCACACAGACCACCCGAGTCGTAGAGTTGGATCACCTGGACAAACGGACAAAGTCCTGATTCAAGCCCACACTGCGCCATCAGGTGGCCAGATGGGGGAGAGGGCATCAGGAGACCTAAAAGATCCTGCAAGGGGCTCACCTCTGGTGGCTGCCACGTGAGGATGTGGTCCAGGTCCTGCTGATTCCGGAATTCCACATGCTGCAGAAACATGCAGAAGCTGCAGGAGCTGCCTGTCTCCAAAAGCCTCTGCAGGTATTGGCAACACAAAGCCAGGTCTCCCTACCCACAGCTACAAGACTACCAGAGCACTCTTAGGCTCCACAGAACTGGGGATGGAGGTGGGGGAAGGGCACAAGGGGGAGGGACTCAGCCCTTGTTCAAAAAGGATCCAGGAAGATGGAAAAAGAAACATGAGAAGAGACACAGAGAGGCAGGGTCCTACCTTCCGGAGCATGTCCTCAGATTTCTTAACGTCAAAGTTCCGAGCTGCAAAAACATGGGAAGGAGAGGTCAGATCTAGAATGAGCTGGTCTTGGGGGTTCAGCAAGATGGCTCAGCAGGTAAAGGTGAGGCGCTTGCCACTGTTAGGTCCCAAACCCGGGACAAATGGCTAACTGCGGTGGTTTGAAGGAAAATGCCCCAACCCAAAGGGAGTAGCACTATTAGGAGATGTGGCCATGTTGGAGTAGGTGTGATCTTGTTGGAGGAAGTGTGTCACTGTGGAGGTGGGCTTTGAGGTTTCATATATGTTCAAGCCACGCTCAGTGAGACGGACCACTTCCTGTTGCCTGTGCAAGATGTAGAAACCTCAGTTACTTCTACAGCACCATATCTGTCTGCACACCACCATGTCCCATCATGGACTGAACCTCTGAAAATAGAAGCCACCCAATTAAATGTTTTCCTTTATAAGAGTTGCCAAGGTCATGGTGTCTCTTCACAGCAATAGAAACCATAACTAAGACACTAACTGAGGTGCCTGTTTAACATATTAAGTTGGACCTGTCTTCCAGGTTTTCTCAGCATCCTTCAGTCCCTACCAGTTACAGGGTTTATGGCTGGTAAACCCCACCCCCCACCCTAAATTTCTCCAGCCTAGGGGCTATGTTGCCCTCCCCCATCTCCCCTTCCCTATATAATCCAGCCATTTTGATTCCTCAGCCTTCTTCATCTACCCTGTACCCTCCTGACCTCTTGGTCTGGCTCTCCCCTCTCCCCATCCGCCTCTGCTCACATGGCTCAGGGTCAGGTCCACTCTGGACTCTCCCAGATGACTCTGCCTCTGGCTATGCTCTCCCTTTTATCTACAATAAACCTTCTCTTCCACCATAGCTAGGAGCAGTCATGTCCTTCCTTTTTTATTTTTATTTATTTATTTATTTATTTATTTATTTATTTAATTCAGCCACCATGCCTGATGACCTGAGTTTGATCTCTGGAACCCACATAATAGAGAGAAATCAATCAGCAAACTTCTCTTGCCTCCATATGCATTGACTACATAAGTCCTCCCACCTCTCAAGAAACAAACAAACAAACAGATATAAAGACAATTTAAAAGTGTTAGGATAAGCTGGTCCCTAGAGACTTAAGAAGACAAATTAGGGTGTCCTTACTTGTCCTTATATCCTTAAAATACACTTGGGGTTTGGAAATCTATGTGTGTATCTATTCGTGCACGTGTGCTCACATGAGTGTGGAGCCCAGGGGTTGATGTTGGGTGTCCTCAATCACTTTTTCACTGAGCATAGAGCTCATCAATTGTCTAGAATAATGGCTGACCAGAAAGCCTCATCTCCTCCAGTTCTGAGGTTACACACAGACCATTCTGGCTCTTGCCCTTCATATGGGTGCTGGGAGAAGGAACTTGGTCCTCATGTTAGCTCAGTAGGTACCTTAATGAACACAACTGGGACTACAGGCATGCCTCCAGCCCACGGGTACAGTCTATTTTAGACACGCCTTGGCAGCTTCTTTTTATGGTGACTAGCTGGAGCTGAAGTGAAATGTGACATCAGAGATGTTCAAGTGAAAGGTGACTTTCCTGCCAGACAGTCTTTGCCCTGTTCATTAATCAGCGCAAGAAAGAACCGTGAAGGCCACTAGCTCAGCCTCCATCATCTCCTGTGACAAGGCAACGCACCCCACTCCTCAGCAACTTCGACTGAGCCCAAACCTGTCTCATAAGGGCTCCAGTCCTATAGTCACAGGCCAAACAAACATACACAGCTGCTTGTCGGTGTGGGCATCGCTGCCCACAAGCCCCTGCGATTACAGCCTGCCCTGTCCTATGTGTTTAGTAGCACCACCTGCATCGGCGCCGGCCCGTTGAATGGTCTGTGATGACAGGACCAGCCGTCTCTGAACTGCTCAGTGTGGCAGTCACGAGCTGTCTGTGGCTACTGAGCAACTGACATGTAGTCAGTGAGTCCAGGACCTGCAGTCGTAATTTAATATAATTTGGATAGTTAAACATGTCCAGAGACTACCAAACCGAATAATAGAGCAGTTCTAAATATACTGGCATTTAAAGATTTGTCTGTTTGGTGTGTCAAGATCTTTTCTGTTCCAAGCTTAAATTCTAGGAGTTTTACAGGCTTAGCTGAGATTTCACCATATTTTATAATTGGATAGTGCTTCAGGTAAGAATGCTACTAGTTTTTTGTGGACCCTTTTGGCTGTGGGTTTTTTTTTTCCCCCTGAAAACCCAAAACTGTTTTTAAAATAAAACTTACAACCACAGGAAGAACAAAAAGACAGGGAAGAGTGGCCCTTGGGTTGGGTCTTCCTTCATGTCAGCCTGGTGACCTCCTAATGCACTCAGCACCTTGAAGACGGGGCTCAATGCCATGCCTACGATGGCACAGAAGAAAGCCAGGCCGGGAGACGGGCTTCTCATGGTGCTCTGCTAGCACAGTGTGGATCACAGTTACAAGCCTGTCTTGTGGGCAACTGCTAAAACCATGCCCCTGTGTCCACTTCCTGGGATGAGTCTTGACTTTCTCCTACCTCAAGTGCAAACTCTGTCCCATGCAAACTAGTGAGTTAAAAGCAATCCCCACCCATGCCCCAGCCTTGGTGCCGGTTCTGGTATTACTTTTCCAGACTGCCATGACTTCTAGGAGAAGCCCTTCTCTGCCATTACTTCAATTCACTGTTCAATGTCCCAGGGGACTGAAGGCAGACCCAAGCCCTAAAGGTAGAGTTACTTGATTCAAGGCCAGCTGGGGAGGCCATTTAATCTGTAGAAGCCAAAGGCACTGGAGTGGAAGTATTAGGGGATCAGGACAGACATAGAGCAGAGAGAGAGAGACAGAGGATCCCCTGGGGCAAGCTGTCGATCAGGCTAGCTAATCAGCAAACTCTAGTTCAGCAGGAGATCCTGCTCAATAATAAAGTGGAGAGTGATTAAGGAAGGCACCTAGCCTCCAGGTGCCTCCCCCCCATTTCCCACCCCTCTCCTCTCACGGTCATGGCCTGGTTCAGTCTGGACCCTTCTAGATGCCTCCATTTGTTCTCTCCCCACATCTACAATAAACCTCCTCATCATCCATACCTAGGAGCAACCATGTCTTCAGTTCTTTTTTCATACAAGCGACTCATGTCCACTCTGTAGACAGAGACTAAGGCTCAGATGAGTCTGCACTGTGCATTTAGTGGCAATGGAGCTATGATTCCAGCCTAGAGCAGGCCAATTGGAGGCGTGTCTCAGCAGGGTGGTCCCCTGAAGTGCCCGCCTCACTTTCCTACCATCTCTCTCTTTCCCTTGCTCTCTGCCTCCCTGGTCCCCATGACCTCACCTCGGAGCCAGCGCAGAAGGAAGTAGTCATCAGCCTTGGGCAGGGTGGGCAGCACGTCCTGGAGGGTCTCCCGGAACTAAGAGGAAAAGGATGGACATGACAGAGGGTTACTGGAGTCCTCTGGATCAGAGCCTGAGCCCTGACAGCTCAAACAAGGAAGGCGTGGCCAACTGTCCTCAGTCGGCCAATCAGGAGACAAGCAACAATGAGAAGCTAAGAGAGTTATTTGATGGGGCCACACTGGAAAGAGAAACAAATAAGGAGGCCCAGTGATCCCTACCCACAAGTGGTCCAGGAACGAGGCTTAAGTTTAAACAAAGGGCAAGAGGTATGCACAACTAAGCAGTCCTGACCGGGTGGTTCTACCCACCACTGACCCACCGTGTTTGGACTTCAATCGGTCGGAGAAACTCTCAGAACTGTGAGACTCTCTCTTTGGGAGACAAGTTCCTCTTTTGGCTAGTGCCTGAGCCTTTTCCAGATAAGCTCCAGAACTCTGGCCTTTTCTCCCTGAATTTCTGGGTGATTCTGATGAAGGGTAGCCTGACAGTTCTAGAGACATTACCCCAGAAATTGCACCCTGACGGTCTGGATCAGAGAGGGCTCCTCTCTTTCAGTTCCCTCACTGGTGAAATGAAGGTAATATCAAACCTGTCCAATCAAAGGCTTGAATGTGTTTAAAATAACAACAGGTTTGGTTGTATGTATCTTAACCCCAGCACTCAGGAAGCTGAGGAATCAGGAGTTTGAGACTAGCCTGGGCTACATATGGAGAACATATCTAGAAAAAGAACCTACAGGGCTGAAAAGATGGCTCAACAGTTACAGATAACTGGATATTCTTCCAGAGGACCCGAGTTTGATTCCTAGCACCCACATGGCACCAGGCATGCATGTGGTACACAGATACACATGTAGGTAAAACACCCATAAAACACACACACACACACACACACACACACACACACACACACACACACACACACACCTCTGTAAGCCTGGGCCTAGTACCTAAGAAGCAGAGGTAGGTAGATCTTATGAGTTTGAAGCCAGGCAGGGCTAGGTACCCCAAACCCCTGAAAAGTAGCAATAATAATTGTTTTATTTTGAGATGGGGTCTTACTATGTAGACAAGGCTTGCCTCTGCCTCCCAAGTGTTGGGATTAAATACCTTTATTTATGTGCCGCCATGCCTGGCCAATAGTAATAATCCAAAAAAGAATAAAACGCAAATACATCTTGCTGTGCTTACATAATTAAAAAGGAATATGTGAAGACAAATGACCAAACGTGAAGGTAGACAGTCCCACACTGTAACAACCAGACCCTGAGCCCTTGGGGCTGAGGGCCCACAATGCTGTATGCAAACAAATGCAGCCTAACTCCTAATGGCTAGTCTGGAAACAAGTG